CACCAGTCTAGCAATTTGGATTTAACTTTGCAACCAAGAGCATATCCACCAAGATTTGAAATATATTTGCCTAAGAAATCAGATACCGATGTAAGGTTCTAAATCAAAAGGAACACTGAGAAGAATTAGCTTTCATGATACGGGTCTAGGGTCATGCTGGTACTCTCAACTGCCAGAGAATATTTTAGGGGTTTTACGGTCATGCCGGTACAGTTCATATGGAGGGTTGAAGGTTGATTCTTAATTAAACTTCGTGTTTAACCTCCCCGAGATTCGGCCTATGTTTAGGATAGTTTTGTACCACCCTAAAGAAGGTTCCTACATACTGGAGATCCAAACCAGTAAAGTAATTATGTTTCTTCCATAAAGCAACTCATATTCCACAAACATACAATCCTTAGACTCACATTATAGAAATCTCTGATGCTTGGCTTGATACAATACTAACTATTCATGTTTTACTTAATCTGAAAAAGATTCGGCATCTAAAGTTCAACAGGATTGAATCCCTAGAAAATATGAAGTGATTTCGTTGATTTCTAAAGTTCAACACCCTACCCTCTTCTTTTTCATAATTAAATATTTACCATCAAACATGAAATCAAACTCAAAGCAAGAACCATTAGAAAAATTGCAAGAACCGGTAGAAGCTGAGATGGTGAAGGTAGCTGGCTTGCCTCTAGCCACAGGATTAGGTGAAATGCTTTGAAGGGTGCCAAAGTCGCGTAAGAATGTAAGAGAAATAATCAGGAGTAGGAGACGATGAAAAACAGAGAAATGAAATGAGGATTTGAAACAATCAAGCGAAATTTCGGGCGAGAAGAAAAAAAAAGGAAATGGCACAGGCAGAACAAGGTTTGACTTAGCCCAAACAGCTCTGGACTAATAATATAGCCCAATTTTTTTTCGGATTTTCGGATAATCCGAAACTAGATTTTGCTTGATCTGTATCCGATCCGAAAATCAGAAAAAAATTCGAATATCCGATCCGAACTATCCGAAAATTGAAAAACGGATCGAATATCCGAATTTTCGAATCGGATCAACGGTTCAACAGATCAGATCGGTCGGATTGAATTTTTTTCACACCCCTAACAGTGGTAGCTCCAGAGACTCGAATTCTGTTTTTACAGTGAAGCTTAGGGGAAAAACCAATAAAAAGCCAAAAGAAAAAGGTTAAATGGAGGAATAAAGCGGAAAGCAGTTCATAAATGCAAAGCAAGCCTGAGATCTGTAGGATCACGTGGTCTGCACACTGACGTTTTTTGTACCCGTCGAAGTTAAAAAAAAAGAAACTCACCAATCTAATGGTGGGTGAATTGAATGAACACCAACTAACGGTGGATAATCCGCCACCAACTGAAAAAACGCCGTCGTCTACGGTGCTCATTATGGAGAATAAAAAAGAGGGGCAAAGGGTGGTCATATTTTGTAGCTGTGTCTACTGTACTGACGTTACCTGCTACAGCCTGTTTTGATGTGACAACTCCTAGCCTTCTCCACACGAAATCTCTCACTGCCTACATCCGGTAAACGGTAACCCTATTTCTTTTCCTTTTCTGACCGTGAAGTTTGGCTTTTTTTGTCACAATAATGGTTTTTATTTATCAAATTATTTCCTAAATCTATATTTGAGATAAATATACCTCAATATAAAAATACAAAATGATAGCGTATATAATACGTGGGTGATGACTATAAATAAATTGATGTTATTTTTTGAAATTTTAGATTTGAGTTTTATAAATATCTCTGTGATATGAACGTTCAATATCAAATAGTTGAAAATTATATATAAAACAAGGGGAAAAGCCCAACATGCCAATATTTATTCTCACTTGACGTGGACTCAAATAAAACGTTTTTATTACAATGATATTGATGCAATTTTACAATATTTTTATAATCCAGGATTTAAAACGTAATTATAAAATAAAATTAAAATTTAATTTAAAAACTTAATGTTTGGATATGGAATATATGGGAAAAGTCGTTTTGTTATGGAATCTAATTAATTAATAGATTTGCTATCATGAAAGCAAAGCAGAATATAATGAATTATAACATACATAAAGCTCGCAAGAAGTTGATGTTGCAAGTTTAAGGATTATTAAATAATTTTGTTAAAAATAAATAAATAAATAAATAAGAGCTTGAGAATAAAGGTTATTTAGGCAAATTAACCAATCGGACCAAAGGGAACTAATTGACAATAAATTTTATTCCTAACATCGATTGTAAAATATTTTTATTTAAAATCTTATTTGAATTTGTGTCATTAGTTAATAAAGTATAATTATAGTTAGGGTGTATATAAACATAATGTTCGACGAATTGTTAGTGAGTCGTTCGTATAATGTTCGGTTATTGAGTTAAATAAACAAATAAACAAAATTTTTGTGTTCTTTTAATAATTAAGCGAACATGAACAAAGATGTGTTTGGTTAATTTATATTCACGGACAAACTCATTTATAAGCTCATTTACTCGGTTTTCCTTTTCCTTTTTATTTTTTACATTTAAAATATTGGTAAAGATATAGACTAAATTGAACGTAATGTAAACTTTGGATCTCAAACTGTGAAGTCTAAGGAACTTAAGGACTAGTGGTATAGTTTCACCATTTTTTATATGACTTGCAAATAAAAGGGTAAAAATGTAGTTTTAGCTGCCTAACATTAAACAAAAGTTAAATGAACATGTTTGTGAATGCTAAACAAATGAACACCTTTAAAATCAATCAAACAAACCCAAAAACAAATCGAACATGAATATCTTTAAAAATAAACAAACAAATACGAACATAGCTTTATTCGTTCAAGTTTGTTATTTACATACCTAATTACAGTTAAAAATTAAATGGAAGAATACTTTCTAAAAGAATGATTAATATTATTGTACCTATATTTTTATAATTTTCAATAAAATAACAAAAAATAAATATTAAAGCAATAAAAGTATATACACATTATTTATCATTGTTATTATGATTATTCATTCAATGATTGTTTTTATAGACACATGTTACTTAAATAAAATATTTTCTTCCATGGATGTAAAATTTATCAAGTCCATTGTTGAATCATAATATTGCAATGCAAAAGGTATTAATTTGTAAAATCTTATCATTATTATCATCTATCGCTCTCCTTTAGAGGCGTTTATGAGCCAAGTTAGGTTTAAATTAGATTTTCACATGAGATTAATAAATTTTATGTTTGTTCAAATTATTCAATTCAAAATACGAACTTAAAGTTTTACCTGTATCATTTCCAGCCATCACATTGTGTTTTCTTCTTCTTCTTATGCATGTAAAAATTAATATACATTTTAATATGTATATTGTAGTATTATGTATTATTATAAATTTAAAAGTATGTGATATAATGTATTGTAAGCTTAAAAAAGTGGGTTTGGTCAAGTTCGAGCCTTAAATATTAACATTCAAATCTAATGCACATTTTCAATGGAACTATTTTTTTAATCTCATCTTAAAATTTAATATTTTCGTTAATTTTTTTTAAAATTTAAACAGTACTCTGAGATAGGGATGAACGGAAAGGACGAAAAGGGTGAGTGAGAGCAATCGCCCCTAAAAATTTTAAACTTTTAAATATTTTTCCATTGATAATTTATTTTCACAATTTCACAACTTTCAAAAATTTGTCTTCTAATTTAAAATCATGCTACTTTGAAATTGGAGAGATAACGCATCTCCACATCTATTACCATCATTTTGAGATAAATATGTGAAATTTTATTTGATGCGTTAAAAATATTAAAATAAATTTAGATAGAAATGGTATAAAATCTAAATCTAAATTAAATTGAAATTTTAAAAGAATTCACCTACAAAATATACATAATTAAACTCAAATTTGAAATCTTAACGTTTTCAAAATCTTTATATTACATGTATTGAGAGTGCGAGTCCAAAATCCAAATTAATTAACATATGGCATTTATTTATTTATTTATTTATTCGTAATATAATATTATTTTTTAAGATTATGTAAGATCTCAAGAGAACAAATACATTTTAAATTGTTTATTGTAAGGTTGGGATGATTCACATGAATTCTTTAAAGCCAACTTGACTTAATCATTTCTCAAATTGGCTTTGAGTGGGGACTAAACTTGCACCCCATTTCCCTTCATAAAGATCCTCCCCTAATTCCAACTAACTCTAGCCTTTGTGTTCCTAAATCAAATTCAAGATCAATATCGAATATAAATATTTAAATTTTATTTCTTAACAACATTAAATCATTATTTATATAATATGATAAATATTAAATAAAAATATTAAAAAATAAAATAGCATAAATCCAACAAATATCACATAATATAAATTATATTTCAGAAATATATATTTTCCAAATAATAAATTAATTAAATATGCTCAGCTTTTGGGGATTTTTGCGTCTATAATTCCTAGGCATAAATGGGACCAGTCCTTTTCATTGAATTCTTGTGTTTCTCAATAATATGGACTACTTTTCATATATATTAATTTTATAAATATTAAAAATTAAAATTAAATTCGTTTTTGAATTACGTAATCGTCCACGTTATTTTCGGTGTCTATGGGAGAACACGACACATTTTACGGGAGCGTGGATTTCGTGTGTCGTGGATGGCGTGTGGGTTTAGCGCGTCCAACACCAAATAGTCGGCGGCAATTGCATTCCCATAATGTGAACCGGCTATCCCCGGTAAAAAAACCAAAATTCAAACAGAGTCCCACATTGGTTATTAAATTAAAGGTAAACTACGCCAATGGTCACTGATGTTTAGGTAAGTTTTCGTTTTCACCAATAATGTTTCAAAAAGTATAAATTAATCACTAACGTTATCATTTGTAATAAAATGATCACTAACCGTTAAGAGACGTGACGAAAAAATACAACTGAACCGTTATTTACTGAGTTAGATCGTTGACGGCCATTTTAACTAACTCTTCTTCTTCTTCAACCCATTCCCCCAACTTCTTTTTCTTCACTTTTCTTCTTCATTATTTCTCTTCACTCTTCTTCTAGACTGCAGAAGTTCTGAAACCTCCATTTTGACCGCCATTTCAAAGGTTGTTATAAAAAGGACTCGGATTTCGTGGCAGAATATTGTGAGGTAAAATTAGTTGTTCTTGTTGATGATATATAGAGATGAAGAAGCTGTTTTTCTTCAAATCCTCCTCTAGCAGTGGTAACGGTAACGCCGTCGTTCCTTCACCGTCAGCAGACAAGCAAGTTTTATGGGAAAACACATTGGAAAGTGGTTTCAATGATCAACTCGGTGACAAGGTTGAATACAGTTTTCTCAGTCTTAAACGTTTCTTTGGAAAATCTCAAAAGCAAATACCGGACAACCCTAGCTTTAGCAACAACCCAGCGGGTCTTCGAAAGAGTCGTTCTTTGTCATCAGCAGCCTTTCTTGTTGATGGTTCGGGACAAGAAGATGTTCCTTCCTCGTATGATCAAAATAGGTCTCTTAATATTACTCCAAATCAACAGTATGATCAATCATCTCGGTAAGGAATTTCTGCATTTGATGTGTTTGTTCGTTTACAGAGTGTAAGAAGGATTGATTAGACCTTATTTTTTTACTTGTATAAATCTAAAGGTATACCAACCTTGTTCTTGTGGTTTATTCCAGGCGAAGAACTCTGACCCCCGAGAAAAAATCTAAGGCTAAAAGATGTGAAGTGGTAGCTAATGGTTTTGAGAGGCCCGGTCCTTCTAGTTCTTCAAGGATACGCCGTGATTCATCGGGAAGCTCTTCCTCTTGCTCTAGCAATATGTCGAGTAAAGTTGTGGACCGGTATATTGATGGAGAACAGCTGTAGGAAAGCAGTAAGTCCAAGAGCAGTTCGAAAATAAATAATCTCCGAAATGGTGGTGGGAGGCTTCCTACACGAGTTCAATATACAGATCCTCCGTCTCCAACAGATAGTGTCAATGAGAAAAACAAGTTTAATTCATTTAGGGAAGCTAAAGGCACGCGTCTTCAGTTCTCGTCTAGAGACTGGGCGGAAAACGGATTCGGACATGAGTCACCTCGGATGATTGCAAAGAATGTGATTGAAAGGCTTTCACAGACTCATATCCCAAGATCAAGTTCAAAGGAATTTGATCTTCATATTTCGATCACCACTGAAGATGTATATGGTGGATACTTGCATGGATGCCCAGAGTCCAAATCGGATGTGTTGGCCCAAAATGGTTGTGCAATGGACGAGCCTTATGACAACGATATTGGATATGGTGAGGATTTCTCTGGCTTGGAGAAGCAATATTGTTTCTTTGGGGGAAATTCTAATGGTTTGAACTCTTCAGAAACTGAAAAGGAAACAGATTTGGAGTTGCAAAGAAGATCTAAAGAAGCTGATGAGGGAGTTTTGCTTCTTTCTGAAGCTCTTGAGCAGGAAAGCTTCCTTCGTAACATTGGATTTAATGTTTCGTCTCTCGTTGAGACCATTAGACGCCTTTCAGAGGACAAAATAAACCTGGCACTAGAGGTTTCAGAACTTCTGCAGTCTAGAAGAAGAGTGAAGAAAAGTGAAGATAAAGAAAGAAGAAGAAAAGTGAAAAAAAAGAAGATGAGAATGGGTTGAAGAAGAAGAAGAGTCCGTCATTTTGACGAATTTAATTCAACAGATAATGATCCAGTTGTATTTTTCGGCACTCATCTTAACGTCTATTAATGGTTAGTGATTATTTTATCAAACAATAACGTTAGTGATTAATTTATAACTTTTAAAACATTAATTGTGAAAATAAAAATTTATCCAAACATCAATGACCATTAGCGTAGTTTACCCTTAAATTAAATGACGTTTTTATCACCCATCCTTTTTAATCTTATCATATTAATTAGCGATTAACTAACATATATAGAATACCAAAAAGGAATAAATGCCCGAATATAATTAAATTTAATTGTAAAAACTTTGTTCTCTAAACATTTCTATCAATTTCAATTTAAAAATTAATAATAATTGATTTTTTGTTATACTCATAATAAATATATGTCAATAAATTTTATTAGACATTCCATTTATTATTTTTAAAAATAATAAATTACTTGATAAACATTTTTTATATTAATCGTTTTATTCATGATAGAGTTTTCTTAATCAAATATGTCAAATGAATGGTTGATATGAGATATGAGCTGGGAAGCAGACAAGTGGCAGATGTGATCCGTATTTGACACGTGTTGACGTGGAAGGTTTTTGATCCTATTTGGTGAAAGAAAATATAAATAAATAAAAGAAAAAGGCAGTTTTAATTTTACTTTTCGTGACTGATTTCCCAACAGATTTTGCCTAACACGCAAACCTTTTTGCAAATTGGTGTTAAAAGCACTTCGGTATTGTAGGGAATTGTGAAGTTTTATTAATTAATATATTTTAGTACATAACTTATATTAATAATATTTTGTAACATAATTGTTGGTGATTAATTGTTTAAATAAAAATATTGTGATGAACTAAAAAGTAAGCAAAATATAATATTATAAACCCTAAATCTAAACAGACCCCGTTAAAATATTTTGTAACATAATAGTTTAATATGATATAATTTAAAATATAATACTAATATAAATAATTAATATATATAATACAATCGACATACGGATTCTGAATATTCAAACTTATTAATATTTATATACTACGAACGTTAACGTAATGAAATTTATATAATTTTAAATATAATAGTTTAATATGATTATAATTTATAAAATAATGAATGCACAGAATGCAGTTTATATGATGTCATTATGTATATTTACAGCCAAGATACTTGTATAATTCAAGGGTTTGACAATGTTATTTGATTGGTCCAATTTCGGTTCGAACGGTGGCTCTGTAATTCCAATTTACTTGCTCTGGTGCGGAAATTGGGTTAAATTACATTAGTTTACCGACTTTTACTTTAATATGAAGGAAGAAAAACATTGAAATCATGAGTTCAATAATGAAATTTAAGGGTGTTAGAAGTAATCCATTATCGTTAATCGTAATCGCAAATCGGTATAATCATTACGTTATACAAATTAATTAATCGAACAATTAAAGTTAAATGATTTTGATTAATTGAATCGTTAAAAATATTAGTTAACCGTTATAGTTACAATTATGAATTTTGATCAAATGATTAATCATCGGTTAACTGTTAAAAATTATAATTAATTAATTATATTTATTTAAATAATAGAATTAGAAATAAAACCAAAATAGTTTCTTCCTATTTTTTAGTCATCATATTTATCTTATATAGATCACATTAAATCAAAATTTGTTAAACTTATATTTTGATATAATAATCGAATGCAAAATATTTTTTAACTTAATTGTATTTGTTCAAATATTTCAAAAATAATTCAAAGTACAAATAAACTTGAAAAGTATGTTTCAAATGTGTTTCTACTTTTTCCAAATATTTTCAAACATTTTATCTATCATTTATGCACTTTAAAATGTGAATTTAATTAGAAAAATGAACAGTATTGACAATGTTCTTGTGGTATCGATACTAATCTTATGAGTAGTACCAATACTCTTCTAGTAATACTGATACTACCATTTGTTTTTAAAATTGTTTAAATTCAAGAATGTAAAATTAATACAGATACTCCTAAGAGTATTGATACTACTTATAATTGTAATGTCGATACTACTAGGTATAGTACCAATTCTCCAACTTCCCCACTGGCTAGATTTTTGAATTTAACACATGTAGGTACTGATATTGCAAAGAGATGTACCAATACTAATTTATCTAGACAGATTCCAATGTTGAAATTAACAACTCCAACGGTTGGAATTCAACCCCAACAGCTCCAGACAGCTAAAACCTCATTCCAACATATAAAAACATTTGGAAAAGGTTACTACTTCTGTCTAAGCTTAAAGATCAAGAGAAAATAATCTTAAATCTTTATTCTTTCAATTTTTTTTACACAGTGTATAGAGCTAATTGAATATATTTTGTATTCATTATTTGTGAGTTAAATCATTGTAAACACCTACCTAAAGTTGCCTTTTTGTTTACATAAAACAAACCTTGTAAAAGGGGATAGATTTTAGTTGAGCAATAGAAAAATCATAGTTGTGAAAGTTACACCTTATCCTTGAAAAGGTAAGAATAAATTTGTGAATTTGTTAGAAATTTTTAAATAAATCGTTATGTAAATTGTTTATATTTCTTTGCTTTCACACCAAAATTTTTAAAGGTTAATTCACGTCATTTAACTTAATTTAGTTGATCCAAAACGCCTCAATAATCTCAACAAAAATAGATGAAAAAAATACCCGACTTTAAACTGTAAAATATAAATATGTACATTAGATTTTAAATTGAAAAAAAACCCTGAGTATACCTCATAATATATATATCTATAATAATAGAATGTATCTACAAATAAATAAGATTTATACAAATATATATGTTTATATCATCATAAATTTTATGAATTTTTTAAATTTTCATTTCGTGTTGTGTTTGAAAAAAACTGTAATAGGTTAACACGTAATCAAACTGTTAATAACGATTAATCGTTAATAATTAATTATTTTTTAATGATTAAATTACGATTAAAAAAATTTAATAATTGTTATAACAATTAATTGACCGTTTAAATTAAACAATATAATTAATTGACCATAAATCCTCTAATGAAATCATACTTGTTATTTTCACTAATAATTTAATATATTGGATGAGATCATTGACTTATCGAGAGATTTTATGACAGATTCACATAATTGAAATATCAACATCTGAATTATTTTTAGATCAGATCTTTTATCTTCGAATTTAATTAACAGCTTTAACTTCTTAAAAAAAAAGTAAAAGTAAAAGTAAATTGTAAAATTTAAATTTATAATATATTATTGGTGAATATATATTAATGAAAAACAAAACCATTAACAGTGATTATTAAATATAATGTAATTATTTTTTACGACAGATAAGTTAATGCTCATTACGTTAATATTGATGCATAATGAGTTAAGTGGTGGTTTAAACGATAAAGAATAAGATAATTAATATATAATCGATTGGTTAGTGGGATAAGACAATAGATTCTTTAAGTAAGATTAGGCGTTTGAATTTTGACCTTAGTGAATAGAGCAAATTGAATTGGGAGGGTCGTTCTCGCCTCTGCAGTACCTGATCTAGATTAGTCGATCAATAAATCGAATATCAGTGATTAATTAAAAAAATAAAATAATTAAATCGACGATTTTTATATTTATTTTTATTTGTATTAATTAATCAAACAATTTTATTTTTATTAAATAATTAAAAATAGTTTTTAATTAATTTATGGTGATTACAACGTAGTATTTGTTTTAAAGATTATCAAATATTTAACAATGAAAGTCCAAACACCCTTGTAGTCTTTGATGCTTGAACCTATAATTTATAAGAAAAATTCTATAACACTTGTCGAGTGAGCATGAACACTGTTAACGATGAGTATCATTAAATTAATTTATAAAACATTAAATTATAAAGTACTAAACGTATAATTGTAAATTACTTAAAAATCTATATGTAATATAATCAAAATAAAATATTTATAAAACATTAGTTTTTAGGGTAAACTATACTATTGACTACCTAATTATTTACCCCTTTTTACTTTAACTACTAATTTTTCAATTTTGTCAATCGGGTCACCTAACTATTTAAAGCTTGTCAATCAAGCCACATACCGTTAAATATTAGCGGAGGAGATGATAGTTAAAAAAATTTGTGTAATTAATCATTTAGTCCTTATTACTTACACATTATATTAATTTGGTCATAACTTTTAATTGATTCAATAAATTTAATCCTCAATCAGATAGTGACACGTGTAACTATGTGATTGAATTTTTTCTTAATATTTTTATTTAATTTAATAATTTTCATCCAATCAAATGGTGCCACGTGTCACAAATTGAACTAATAGAAAATAAGTTGAATCAATAACTGTTGGTGGTGGGGTTTGAACCTAAAACGTGAGGAGAGGAGGCAAACGCCCCAACTACTGGGCTGCACCATTCAAATGACAAACCTATCACGACATAATATATATAGTTAATGACAATAAAAAAGTGAAAATGACCTAATAAGAACTCCAACATGAAATAATTGAATAATACGATAATATGATATATATATACAAACAAATATTATAACTGATTAATATGCGAATTTATTTTATTTATATTTTAAATCATTTTAATGAATTTTTTTTAATATATTATAATTGAATTATAACGAATAGTTTTGTTGACTTAGAATTTTTCTGATAGTTGAGTGCTTATCGTAGTAAGCATTTTAACTTATTCATTAACTTGTTTATATCCCGGTTATAGTAAGAATTTTATATTTTATTATTTATTCATTATATATTTGAAGAAAATTTTAGGGGAAACTTGATTTTATTGAATTAGTCTACTTTAATATAGAGTTGTTAAATAAAATTAGAATCCGATCGACGTTATAATATTTTAAAATATAAGATATGATACATTTCAGTTCAATAAAATTAAAATAATAAAGATAATTTATTA